ATGTCAATCAAAAGCTACACTATAATTATTAGTAGCATCTCTATTATCTGTTAATGTTATCAGTGGCGAATCTAGGGGGGTTCCATGGGTTCCATGGAACCCCCCTTTGGCAGAAGAAGTTGTCTTTTTGCAGTATCTTTGGATTCTTTGCAGTCAGTTTGCAGCACTTTTCCTCCATTTTATTAATTAAAATTGATGAGCCACACCCAAATTTTTAATTAAAATTAATGAGCCACACCTACTAAAGTGAAATGGAACCCCCCCTTTCAATTTTTCTGGATCCGCCAGTGGTTATAGACTGATCCTAAAAGATTTAAGAAGATGCTACCAAAGATATTGAAAGGTATGAAACCAGAGGAGAGAGTAATGATCATTGGTACCTCCACTAGACCTTTTGGTTAGTATAAATCATGATACATTAGTAATAATAAATAATTATACAGTGTGTGTAGATGCTGATCAAATGTAGATGTATCAAAGAATCATAATGATACCAAGACCTGACTATGGATCAAGAGTCTGTAAGTACATCCATACACTGTACATGTACATATATTGTAGCATAAGGACATCAAAATTAAAAAGTTTTAGTCGGAATCAGCTCAAATTTATAAGGATGTCAATATGTATCAGAAAATGTAATAACAATTGGGAGAGATTTCTGAGCCATTTTTTGGAAAAAACCTTGCATGGACTATAGCCTTGAATTTGTTTTTTAGAATTTTGTCGCTTTTAAATGTCATAAAATTGAAAAATTAAAGTCGGAATGAGCTCAAAATTTCTACACAGCATAAGGATATTAATATGTAGCAAAAAATGTAGTAAAAATTTGGGGTAGTTTTGGAGCCATTAATTTTTTGGAAAAAACCATGGGCTATGGCCTTGGGAAATTTTCAGATTTTGGCATTTTCTTAAAAAGACCGTAACTTGAAGAAATGAAGTCAGAATCAGCTCAAACTTTCTACACAGCATAAGGACATCAATATGTATTTTAAAATGTAATAAAAATTTGGGGTGATTTTTTAGCCATTTTTTGGAAAAAACCATTGGCTATAGCCTTGGTTTATTTTTCAGATTTTTGGCGTTTTCTTAAAATGGCTGTAACTTGAAAAATTGAAGTTGGAATCGGCTCAAACTTTCTACACAGCATAAGGATATCAATATGTAGCAAAAAATGTAATAAAAATTTGGGGTAACTTTGGAGCCATTTTTTGGAAAAAACCATGGGCTATAGCCTTTGGTATCTTTTAAATTTTTGGCATTTTTAAAAAATGGCTGTAACTCGAAAAATTAAAGTCATGCAGAATTAGCTCAAACTTTCTACACAGCATAAGGACATTAATATGTATCAGAAAATGTAATAAAAATTTGGAGTGATTTTGGAGCCATTTTTTGGAAAAAAAACCATGTTCTATAGCCTTGGGTATTTTTCAGATTTTTGGTGTTTTTAAAAAGTGGCAGTAACTGGAAAAATTGAAGTCGGAATCGGCTCAAACTTTCTACACAGCATAAAGACATTAGTATTTATCAGAAAATGTTATAAAAATTTGGAGTGATTTTGGAGCCATTTTTGGGAAAAAACCAAGGGCTATATTTTGGCATTTTTTAAAAAGGCCGTAACTCAAAAAATTGAAGTCAGAATCAGCTCAAACTTTCTACACAGCATAAGGAAATCAATATTGGCGACCATAATTGACAAAAGGTACCTTATGGCGGATTTTAAAATTCATCATTATAATGAATAATATCAACCTGTGAGTTCTCTGTTGGACAATCATTGTTTGTAAAAGTTACATAGTAACTTTATGCATCCTGTGGAGTCATTTTATGATATATGAAGCTCAGGAAGTTTGATTTTTTGCTATAAAGACAAATTTCACTACCCGCCATAAGGTACCTTTTGTCAATTATGGTCACATTTATCAGAAAATGTGGAGTGACTTTGGAGCCATTTTGTGAAAAAATCCATAGGCTATAGCCTTGAAAAATTTTCAAATTTTTAGCATTTTTTAAAATGGCCGCAACTTGAAAAATTGAAGTCGGAATCAGTTCAAACATGCACGTGTAGAATAGCAAAAATTAATAATACAATTGTTTAATTATTTTATGTACTTGGAGTGCAGTGGAAGAGTCTTATACTGAAACATGGCGGTCATGTTACTGATGGATTTGACATTGAGCTCATTAGCTAAAGTATCAGACAGATACACTCCAGGACACATGATCACTGGAATAACACAAGTACTCACTGAAAGAAGGATACAACAAGTAATAATAATATTAATAATAATAATATTTAATTTTTATATATATTTTTTCTTGATCTTTTTAACTTTGTAAGCGTCCATTGACTACAGCAGAATTCATTCCTTTTCTTACTAAAATTGATCCGATTTATAGAGAAGAAGAGGAAGCATACAAAGTAAACCTATTATTAGAACTGTTTAGGAACCTTGTTACTAAAAATAGTATGTATAGCAGTGTATAAGTTAGGGGCCTTGTTAGTTGTTACTAAAAATAGCATCTGCATGTAGTACATGTACTATAGGCAGAACCCTAATCTTCAGTGTTGTTGCAAATTAATACTGAGAACCTTGTTACTAAAAATAATCTACAAATGTATATGTACATACATGTACATGTGTAATTATAGTATAAATAGAACTAATAATTATTTATACCTTTTTTGTTAATGTTTTTTGTTTTGTTTTGTTAATGTTTAACAAGACTCCTCTTGGAAAGAAGAGAGCTAAAGCTATCAAAGAAGCAATGGGAGAGGATGATGGAGGAGGAGGGAAGAAAGGGAAGGGAAAGGAAAAGAAGAAATAAACACAAAAATGCAAAATACACGTGCACTTATTATTAACTGTATTGTTATAATTACCGTAGGACGACTAATTTTCGCGAATGCTAATTAGAATTTCCATGGAAACAGGTTAGATAGTTGCTATGGCGATTGACCACGTATTTATACATTTACAGTGTCCAGCCAGGGGCGGATCTAGGA